GTTGAAGATGATCAAAGTTGACCCCATGCTTCTAGAAAAAAAAAATCAAAACTTTTTCTGTGACTTTTTTTCAGTTCTAAATGACTTTCTCTTTTCAAACATTTTTACTTTTCTCCTGCTTCTCTTATAATTTAATATTTGTCATTGCCTCAGTTTTTAAGCAGTGCTGTATGAATGTGTTTTAGACTATTACCACATCCCCAAGGTGCCTGAGGGATGCTTTAGAGACAGAACATATTACAGTGTATTTGTAACGGCTGGAAGAGAATCATTCAGCACTTTAGTTGTCAGAGGAATCATCGGATTTTATGCCAGATTAAAATAAAATGGTTTATACTTCTGCAGGGTATAGAATGAGTATGTGATCCCTTGATCCCTTGATCCCTCCTTATTCCTGTTCTCCCACTTCATAGCTAGAATCAGACGTGCGTCAGAATCACACCAATGGGGCGTTAATCTAACAGAGGACTCTTTTAAATCCTAGGTTGTTTTGTGGACGTTGTGGTTGGGTTTGATATCTCAAGTCAGCAGAGAGGGCAGCCTTTGCTGGAAGGTCAGCCTTGGATGGAGGCCTATCTCCAAGACATCTTACGGGCTATCAACTCCCTCAACGGGGTTAGCTGTAAGAAGGGCACCAAAACCCAGGTGAGCATAGCTTTCCAGGTGACAAATGCCATGGAGAGATTCCCCTCCAAGTTCGAGATCTACAGTGAGCACATACTGAGCAGCCTGAGTGGTGTGACCGTGAACGGCCCGTCTCACCTCAACGCGAAGCTGCTGAGTTCTCTGTGGGACACGTTTCAGAATAAGTCTGCCGCTCGCGGGAAGGTAACGTGGCTTGAGTTTGTGCTTTGGCCTGCGGTTCTCAGAGAACTTTTCGCTAATCGTTTTTCTCGTTTTTCTAAACCCTACCCTAGGTGGTCCTTCTATTTTCGGATGGATTGGATGAGGACGTTGAAAAACTTGAACAGAAATCTGATGAACTCAGAAAGGAAGGTACTGACTGTCAGGGAGGGGGTAGGAATGGGGTTAACTATTTACTTGTTTATTTAGGTAGAGTTTTATTTTGTAGCCCAGGCTAGCCTGCAGCTTCTTATGTAACCCAGCTTGGTGTCAAACTAAGGGCAGTTGTCTTCTTCACCTCTTGGTTGAGATCACAGACATGAACCACGATTGCTGGCTGCTTAACAGTTTTGTAGTCTCAGAACGCAACTCTGGCTCTTTTGTTTCCAGTCACCTTACTGACCCTGAATTTGGCAACCTTTCTCTTCTATATAGGCTTAGTAGAGCAAATGTCCGCTCAGTACATTTTGACCTCTTACTGCCTCTCTTGGTCCCTGTGTCTAAAACAGCACATTGACGAGAACCCATGTGTTACCTCCTCTTACCATATTAGTCCTTCAAAACCTATCCTGGAGGCTGTTCCTTTCCATCTCGCCCCATGTAGTTTTTACTGTTGCTATATCTGTCATACGGTACTGAACAGGAAGTTCCTTCCTGACCAAGGAACATGAGCATTGGATGACTTCCTTCTAACAGGAACCATTTCTAGACTTGCAAGTGGTTTTTTGTTTTGTTTTTGTTTTTTGGACAAGCTTCCTCCTGTGCTGGTGTTTTATAATTAGTTCCTTTATTCAGGATGCAGAAGGACCTGCCATGATGCTTATGCTGCCTCAAGGCTCTGGAGCTAGGCATTTGGCTTTTAGAACTAATAGCCAGTCTGACTTAGGGTTAGGTCTTCTTAAAATATGGGTCAGTAGAGGCAAGAAGCAACCACATGTTCTGACTTGACTAGAAGAGGGACCAGTGTCCTGTAAGCAGGCACTGTTGCTCTCACATTCACGTCTCCTTTGCAGCCAGGACCACCCACCTGCCAATCCCTCAGAGCTATGCGTTCTCTGAAGAATTGCCATTGGCCTGTAGGGGCCCTGTCCACTGGAAAGTCAGTCTCCACTCTGCCCCTGGGCAGTACAAAGAATCAGATGTTGGCCTCAAGTGACACCAGGGATGTGGTTTACGCTCCAGAACTCTCTGAGGTCAAGTTGAAGCTAGGGGGTAGCTTGGGTCCTGCCCTGAACTCCTTCCTTCACCCCCTGTCTTCTGAGGACTTTCAGAACATTGTATGTGTCCGGACCTTACCTCAGATTCTGCTTCTGGGGTTCTGGTCGAGCACATGTGTCTCTCAGCCTCACTAATATAGGTCGGCCAGAACCTGTGTTTTCTGTTGAGTGTTCTTCTTAACCTTAAACAAACTGCAGACTTCTCTGGCTTTACAGCCATATAGGAAAGGCTCTTTTTTTTTTTTTTTCCAACCTATTATTGACTAAAGCTGCCTTCTCCTTATTCTATCAAATCTTGGTCTTTGTGAACTCCAAAGAGATTTTAATTAAGATTGAGGACAAGCCCCTGGGGCATCTAGTTTGAGAGGACTGTTTCGTTGTCATCCTTGTGATTTTAATTATTTCAGCCTTCCTTGTACGTGAGTGTGTGGGAGGGGGGCTCTATCTCTTGCCCATGGTATTAAAGTGTCTTCTAGGAAGCACGTAGGAGCAACTAGAGTTCCAAGATCATTCTGTCTCCATCTCCCAAGGAAAACATAGGAAGTCTGTACCAACTTCAGAAGCTAGACTATACATATAAATCCTCAGAAATTTAGAATCTTTCAGAAAAGAACAAAGGAACGGTGGTAGTATTCTTTGAAAATTATCACATAATTCTTAACATGGACAGGAAGTACCCCTGTTCCTGGCTTCCCATATATGTGTATGTGTATATACATGTGTATATATAGACATACATGTACTTGTATATATATGTATATATGTGTATATATATATATATATAT